GAAAACAAACCTCAAAAGACTGACTGATGGATTGATTCAAAGGACAGAATTGTGTTTTGTTGGAACTGAAGGAAATTTAGAGATAAACAAGTAGGAGAGAGTAATATTTACAGCCTTTAAGCAATAAGCTCTTCAGGACCTGGAAAATCTATTCTGCTCTGTACAGCATCCAGACAGCTGGATCTTTATTTAAGACTAAGACTTATTCACCATGTTGATGGTACAAGTAACAACGCACAGAATATGTCCAATAAGCACAGAGACACTGAGTCATATGTTCCTAAGCTCCTGCCCAGAGTGTCTAAATTCCCAGTTTTGAAGTCACTTAATTTAAGTGAAGATTCAAAAGGCCTGCCTGAGTCTGATCATCCAAAACACTGAGGAACTCAACTTTTAAACTTATTTGTGAAGTCTACACAGCTTCAATAGATTGCTTTGAAAATGGTTATAAGCACTAGACACTCCCAATCTACCCACCTCTTTGCACAGGGTAGGTGTGAGCAGCCTCACCCAACCTGCTCAGCAGCTTACCAGATTCTGAAATAGTCAGCTTGTCTATCCTGTTTGCTCAGACTTGTAGGTCCCACACATGCTTCTGATGTCTTTCAGTTGAGCTTGCAGAGCCGCTATCTCTTTAGACTGCTACATTGATTTACAGAACATCACATTCGGATCCAGCCTCTAGGAGAGTTTGGGAATCTGCTGGTTTAGATTCTCTTGTAAGTCAGGCACAATGTATTTCAAGGTAAACACTCAGAGTCAAGGTATGTTAAGGCACTAGAAACCCTACATGTTGCCACTTCTAAATAAAATTGTGTCCTGGAAGTGTAAGCAGTTGTAGAAACACTGGCTTCCCTTATAAAATGTTCCAGGACTTCTAAACATATGTTTGTTTTCTCTCCCTTGAAATGTCAACCCAGCAAGTTGAAGTTTTTTATGTAAACCAAAAACTTTGAGGACTGTTCGAACACCGCAAAACACTTTTGCTAGCTCATCATTTCCGTTTGCTTTTTGCTCACACAGTTCTGCTTTAATGGTAAAGGTCCAGAAAACCCTCTAATCCCTTACTTTGTGTTATTTGTGCTCCTGTTATTTTTAGGTTTAGGGAAAGGCTGAAATGACATAAGGAGAGAGTTAAAGAAGAGTTACATGCATGGCCCTCCAAACTTTTCTGACACAATAGATAACTGTTAACTGCCTTTTTCCCCACTTTCATAAAGGTATGGCACACTGTGCCTTTTCTGCTGAGGCTCATGGGCTCAATGCTTCCAAAACTGCTAGAATTTTTCTCAAAGGGGCAACCTATTTTTCCCCCAGCTATGTCATCCCTCATATTGCTGAATATGGGTCCAAAGGAGTCAGCTGCTTTGCAGTCTGGCTGGACCGACCACAAAAGAGAGCTGCCAGTGCAACCTCGAGGGGAGAGGGCAGGGGCAGTGTTACATGTTATTACCTTGTCTCCCTTAGAAAACCGAATTGATGCTGGATGAGACCCTTCAAAATAGCAAAACTCCCAATTTCACTTCTAATCCAGTAACTTTCTGTAAGTTTTTGTTAGAAGAGTACACTTACTCTCCCTTGAGCTTTTAGCTAAAACCTTGGATCCCCTGGACTCATATATACCAAAATCGCTGGTCTTTGTATAACACGGCTTGCTAGTTGCTTTTTCAAAATATCTTCATTCTGAAAAAAGTTCAGCTAAGAGTTCAACCACTCAGTTGACAAGTTGCGCTATTATAATAGAAAATCAAAGATGATGTATTAGAAATAGGATACACCTTCTCGTCTGTCTTTCAGTGGAACTTCCCACTGGTTATGTTCATCTGGAAGATTGCCCCTGCCCTTTGTTGTGGAAACACAGTGGTTGTCAAACCAGCAGAACAAACCCCACTGACAGCCCTTTACATGGGATCCTTAATTAAAGAGGTAAGTCATCAACAACAGAGTTTTTTGCCCTTCTCAGAAATGTAAGAGAATACTGCAGCTGAAATGCCACAGAGGTAATATAAACCAGGCTGTCCTCTGCAAATACTTCTCACTGCGTGTCTAGCCTTGTACTATGGAACTTACCTTACTGCAAACCAGTGAAGCAAATCCAGAGCAAAAGCATGCGTATTTTTCAGCCTAGTCCACCCACAAAAAGAGACCCACAATAGCAATTTAGTAAACTCCATTCCTTGGCAAACATATTTGTATTACAAAAGCACAGTACCTTTCAAAGTCAAAAGCAAACAAGGAGTCAAGAGCAGAGTATTTAGAGGTGGGTGGCAATGACTTTATTAGCATAGTTATCACAGAAAAGGACCCGTTCATGAAGTTAATTATTATTTTTTTTTAATTGAACAAACTTTTCATCCTCCTGGGTTTAGTGTTAACAGCGAGCTGTAAAAGTGAACTGGTGACTGCTGCCAAACTTGTGAACTCTCTTCACACAGAAACTGGGAGAATACTTTTTGTCCTCTTGAACAGGAGGGTGGTAGTTTCTCCAGTGTCTCCAAAGTCATGGTGACTATTGTGACAAGCCCAGCAAACACCCAAAGAAGAACAGTTAAATAGTTTAGCTATCTTGCTTCCCAATAAAATCAACAAATGCAATCTAACATGTTTGAAGAGTTGGCATAGATGTCAATAATCACCAGCGCAGTAACCTTTCAGAGCGTTAATGGAAACAGCTTGGCACATTTTATTATACTGCTTCAAAACAATGATTCAGCAAAGTATACTGACTGGTCATGTGTTAATGTTTCACAGAAACTAAACGATTATCAGGAAGGAGCCAAGTCCTGCTGTTATTGCATCACATAGTAAATGCTATTAGATAATATAGGTGAGGAGCAATTGCTTTTAAAAAAATAATCAGAGATACCTTCTCTATTCATTTTTAACATTAAGTATCAGAAAGTATATTTCTCTAAAAAAGCAACTTTACAGGCAAAGTAACTCAATTCTGCTCCAAGTCTAAGGAAGTATCTATTATGATATTTGGATTTCCTGAAAGGAGAGTTCATTAGTGGGAATGTGATCAGAGGCCCATTTTGTATGCACACTTACAAGGGTTGCAGGGTGGTAATGACTGGTATAAAGCTAGAGCATTTTTAGTAAAAGGCGAGACGATTCTCATTTTACCCATTCATTCAGTATTCAACTGGATGAGAAGCTTAAGTACATAATTGTTAAACGTCTTTGGTGTATTATCTGGTAGATATTCTGGAGCTTTAAAAAAAGACAAATATTTATCTTACCAAGTCCTTCAAGATTTATTCAGGCAAAGCTAGCTGAGTTTTAATTTACATCAAGATTACCCAAATAAAGTTGGAGCCCAAATCCCTGATAATGATCAAAACCTCAGTGATCACTTCAGTAGCTGCTGTAGACTTGTGAAACTATCTGAAGATCTAATTTAACTTTTTAATTCTCAAGTGTCTATATTAAAAAATAAGTATAATCACTTTGGGTAATCCTCATCAATCCTAGGTAAATATTAATATGGAATATTATATGAGCATAAAAAGTATTGATAGAATGCATCTGAGCATGAATGTGTAAGGAACCAAAGTTGCTAGAACGAAAGTAGTTGTCTAGTGTCCATAATTCAGGACACGAAGTTTAGTAGCTGTAACTCATAAATTGAAATCCACCATTTTCCAAACGAAAATGGAACCTTTGCATGTAATTCCAAAGTCTTGTTTAACATTAAAAAAGAGACTAATTTAACTGACAATACAGGAGACATATCTTTTTGGTCTTTTAATTCTATGCTTGCTCTGCAAGTGCCATTGAGATCCCATAGCTGCTTCATAAACTGTCAGGAAATCCTGCACTTCACATGTCCTTGGGAGTTTGCCTGAGAGTCTGTTGGAAGAAATAACTTATTTTGCCTGTGAATGGAACATAACTAATACAGAAATTTTGAGAAACAATAGGCTTGATTTGGCCCACAGGAAAAGCCTCTTTAAATAGAAAAGTTGCGAGATACTGGAACTGTGCATATCTCAGGTAGCCAGATTTTTCATTCTTGGTAGCTGATTTCGCTCATCTGTGCTACAAGCTCTCATGTTGCCCACTTTCCGTTTTCAACTCACACCCGGAGGAAGAAGCAATGACATTGAGTTTGAAGTATTATTTCCATCATATTTCTTAACAGAATTTCAGTATAAGACAGCAGATCATTAATTAAATCCTATCTAGTGTGATGAATAATGAGCAAAAGTCAGCAAGCACATAGGATAATTCAAATAGCTTTGATGATGCAGACACAAAATTAAACAATCTTTTTCTTTACACATCTGACTGGGCTAGAAAAGAAAAAAATCAGTTGATTCCTTGCAAATAACACTGAAAAAGAACTAAAATAAAATGTTCTTGTTTAAAAAAAGCCAGTTCAACAGCCTATAAGTCAGGTGAGGGAAAGATGGCATAAACCATGTGAGAATGAACACATTTGGGGTTCTAGGGCTGAGAATAAATGTATGACTGAGAAAAAGTGACTGGAAAACTGAAAAGGGAAGTAAGAGTATACGAGAGGTGTTCTTCTAGTCATTATGCTTCCCCAAATTTACAAGGTTCTGTCTTCCAATTCAGGCAGGATTTCCACCCGGAGTTGTGAACATTGTGCCAGGCTTTGGACCCACTGCTGGAGCAGCAATTTCTCACCATATGGATGTAGATAAAGTAGCTTTCACAGGCTCTACAGAGGTATTATAACGAATGCAAGAAAATATAAGCAAGAGATGTGCCCCTGTGATTCCCAGTAATGATTTAATGTCTAACTTATTCTATGTAACTATTTTAACTTTTTTCTTTCTTTTGGCTGCTGGTTTGTTAAACAAAGTCTGTTTAATGATTTGTTGGTTATTATTAACTTTAAACATATTTAAACAAAAAATACAGGAAAGTCCTTCAAACAAAGGCACTCCATGAGATACAATAGGTTCTAGTATACCAAGGCTATTTTAAATCTTGTCCTTTAAAAAGGCAACATTTTCATAACTTTTTATTTGCTTTTTTGAAAAGAATAATTATTTTTAAAAATGCAAATAGTTAAACAGGCCATGCTTCGTTCTTTTTTAATTTTAATAAAAAAGCAAGAATCTTCTTCCTGATTCTGCACACACTTGAGGTGAGGTGATGGCTTTTTGGTATTTGAACGAGACGGATGATTATCTGAGTGGTCTTAGAAGTATATTTGAATATGTATCAGTTTAATAACTGAAAGGCAGGTCATTGTTAATTTTCCATAACCTCTACTCTGAAGAACTGTGAGATATGATTGAAGATTTTTTAGTGCAGTCATTGTATAACTATATCCTTAACACAGCACATTATATTATCTCTCTGTACACATGCTACATGGAAGAGCTGCCAACTGGTCTCTTAACTTCTTGGGTGTACACTCCAAAAATAAATATCGTTGCCTCATGTCAAGGATCAGTACACACTGGGTGCAAGAGCTATGTTCACTCTTAAGAACCCTTAGCTCCAAAGTAACAGGAAAAGAAAACAACCCAAAAAACTGTCATCTGAGAAACATCCCACAGATGTTCCCAATGGACAGCAACAACTACAATTCCCAGTGCCCAATGTCCCTCCAAAGGCAGGTGGACCAGAAGGTGTATTCATAGACTTTGTGACAGTCCTTTTCTTCTGACAGTGTAATTTAGCAGTGAGAATGAAGGCAGGAAGGCTGGCAGAGGGAGGAAGCTATCTGATGGTTGCAACACACAAGTAGTGACAGACTAATGCCACAAGGCCTACAAACATGCTTTACCTTCACAGTTTTTCCAGGACAATTCATATTACATAGTTCCTTTAATTATGCCATCAGTGGAAAGAAGCAGGGTAGGCAGTGTAGATATCTACTTTTTCTCTCATATACTTTGGGCATCATAGGGCTTTCCCATGTATAAAACAGAGGAATTTCAACCTAACAAGAGTAACTGGAAGAGCTGAAATCAATACCTAGTTTAGATTACAGATACAAGCAAGTACAGTGGTGGTAACCAAAAAAAGCACCAGCCATCTTTGGCAATTAACACGAGTGTGTCCAGCAGGAAACTCTTCTAGAAAGCATTCCTGGTTCATAAATGGCAAGTCATCTGCACCCTGATTCTTCTTTTCAAAATTTTTTTAAAATTTATTTTTCATTTCTACAATTACTGGGATAATAGACAACTGTGAACTGATTTTCATTTTTGAGGAATTCAGAAAAATGTTGTTGAGGTCATAATAAACTTTTTTGAGATGAAGCTGTCCTCTCCCTACCTTTTAGGTTGGCAAACTGATTAAAGAAGCAGCAGGGAAGAGTAATCTGAAGAGAGTTACCTTGGAACTTGGAGGAAAAAGTCCTAACATTATCTTTGCGGATGCAGACTGTTAGTAGCATTTTTATTATATAAACCTACCAGTTTTGCAAGTCCCATGTTATTTTTCTTTTCTTTGCAAGTAAATTATTTCTACCTGTTTAATGAGGGAGTAATTTTTAAGATTTTTCTGGTCATGCCACAGTTTTAAGTTTGATTGCCACCAAAAATTGATGGCTCCTGAATGGTTATGAACCTCTGACAACATATGCACCCTTACTGTGATTAAGGGTCCTCCTAATGCAACAAGAATGCAGAACCAAAAGCAGCTAGACGGATCTTACGCAGGCTTATTAACTTTCCAGCTGAATACTCCTCTTGGTACTGCTGAATAACATTTCACATAGAACAGCTGAATGTGTGTTTGTCTAGTCGTACTATGCTACTCTTGATAAGAGTAGTTTTGGATAGTAAATGGATGAATACCTATGTTTTAAAGGACTGTAAAAATAAAAATTGCTAAAAAGTGAAATGAGATGGAGTTACAAAGGTTTTCAAAGGATTATGACATGACCATTAAAGTTTATGATCTGATGAACTCTGCATTTCTTTGTAGTGGACGCCGCTGTGGAATTTGCACATATTGGTCTGTTCTATCACCAGGGACAGTGTTGTATAGCAGGATCTAGGATTTTTGTGGAAGAGCCTATTTATGACGAGTTTGTTCGCCGGAGCATTGAACGAGCAAAGAAGTATACTCTTGGGAATCCTCTGTTGCCTGGTGTACAGCAAGGCCCTCAAGTACGTAATGTTACATGTTTCCAGTATAATTGCAACACAATATCACAGTTTAACATACTTCTAAACCTATTGTTGCATTAATTTCAAGGCTAAGTTGTCCAGTGGTTAGACTGGAGGACCAGGAGGAAGAAACTGGAGTGACAGCTGTTTGTGCCACTATCATAAGCTTGAGAGTGAGGTTTCTTCCTCTGTTATAGTTCCTTTTATTATGGAATGGGAACAATTTTATAGAACTGAAATGTTTTGAGAAAGATCCAGTGAAACAGCTGTAAAAGTGCAAGTGTAGAATCATAGAATCATAGAATGCATTGGGTTGGAAAAGACCTCTAAAGGTCATCTAGTCCAACCCGCCTAAAATAAGCAGGGACATCACTAACTAGGTCAGTTTGCTAAGACCCCCCCCAAGCCTGCCCTCCAATGTCTCCAGGGATGGGGCTTCCACTACCTCTCTGGGCAACCTGTTCTAGTGATCCACCACCCTCATATTAAAGAACATTTTCCTAGTGTCCAACCTAAACCTACCCTTTTCTACCTTAAAACCATTACCCCTCGTCCAGTTGCTACAAACCCTTGTGAACAGTTCTTCCCCTGCCTTCTTGTAGGCCTCTTTCAGGTATTGGAAGGTCACTATGAGGTTCTCCCCCGAGCCTTTTCTTCTCCGGGCTGAACAACCCTGACTCTCTCAGCCTGTCTTCATAGCAGAGGTGCTCCAGCTCCCTGATAATTTTTGTGGCCCTCCCCTGGACCTGCTCCAACAGGTCCACATCCTTCTTGTGTTGGGGGTCCAGAGCTGGACATAGCACTCCAGTTGGGGTCTCACCAAGGCAGAGCAGAGGGGCAGAATCACCTCTTTCGACCTGCTGGCCACACTTCTCTTGATGCAGCCCAGGATGCGATTTGCCTTCTGGGCTGCAATTGCGCACTGATGGCTCATGTCCAGCTTTTCATCCACCACTATCCCCAAGTCTTTTTCCACAGGGCTGCTCTCTAGTATGTCTTCTCCCAGCCTGTATTGATACCAGCAGTTGCCCCAGCCCAGGTGCAAGAACCTGCACTTGGCCTTGTTGAACCTCATGA